AATGAGTAAAATAAGATACTTTCCTATTTCATTTATTAGCTGGTCAGATGGAAAGTTATTCTGCAACCCCGGTTTCTTTTACTTCATGGTCCAGGCATCCTCCTCATCACTCTGGAGTAAGCTCCGCCTCATTTATACTCCAGTCTATGGGAATGAAAAGTAGAAAATAAACCAATCCCTGCTAAGTTTCACTCTTCACATTCACACACACTACACTGTGTGAACTTTTAATGAGAAGGCTGAAGAGCCAGGAACCTTCCTGAACCATTAACTGCTGCGGAAGAACCACAAAAGGAGTGCTGTGATTTGGACCTAAACTGTCCCCAAAGGCCATATATTAAAGCCGTGTCCCCAAGGTGGAGATACTAGGAGGTTGTGAGACCTTTAGGAGTTGGGGCTTAGCTGTCATAGGGAGTTTTGTTTTGTTTTGTTTGTGCTGGGGATCAAACTCATGACCTTGTGCTTGCCAGGCAGGCGCTTACTCTCCTGAGCCAAATCCCTGGCTCATGCTAGCATATTCTTTAAGGGAATGTTGCAACCTCAGCTTCTTCCTCTCCCCGTTTGCTTCCTGGCTGCCGTGAGATGAGCAGCTCCCTCTGCCACACTCTCTCACTGTGACATTCTGCCTCACCACAGGCTCAGAGCCGTGGGGCCAAGTGACTGTGGACTGAGACATCAGAAAGCATGAATCAATGTAAACTTTCCTTCTTTATAAATTTATTATCTCAGATATTTGTTTACAGTAACACAAAGCTAATTAACAGAAAAGTTTGATGAACCACTCGCACACTACCACAATAATATGCTGCTCTCAACTTTTTCATTTGTGAAATAATCATCAGATATAAATTAGATAACTCATGTTAAATCATGAATATTCAAGCACAGCATTGTAAAACGTGTAATGTGAAATTTTGTTAAAAGTTATTTTCATTTACTTAATGCTATCATCCCTAAAGCGGGATCAGTTTCTAATTCCTGTCATGTACTTCCAGCATGGTTCAGTTTGTTCTTAATGTAAACTCTATCCAATAAGATCTCCTCAGCCTTCACAATATAAAGTCTGTTTGTTAGCATTAAATATACATGGGCTATAAAGATATGAATATAAATATCTATGTATATTCCATTCACATAAGCTTTAATTTGATATAACTTGATTGTAGATGTATTTTCTAATTTCAAATAACATTCAGCCCATTTAGTATGAAGGTGTTTTCTCTTTCTGCTTTGCTGCTGTTTCTCCACTTCATTCCCAAACAGCATCTTTTCATCACAGCTACTCTGAGTACCCTAGGATATTTTAGATTAGCACTCATTACTGCTACAGGGCCACATCGCATTTGCTCCACACTCTGTAAACATATTGGCCATTATTTAATGGTTCGTTTCAGCCAAACAGCACATGTTTTCTTCCTTAAGTTCTTTTCTATCCGCCCTAGTTACCTGTGTGTGCTATCCACATATGACTTTGCTGAGACCATTTTGTGTTTCTACAACACATACACTTAGGATATTCAGTTTGTTCACTGACTCAGATAGTGACTCAGGAACACACAGGAAGTCAGAGTAACAGGACAGCACCACTAAAAATCTGTATAATTAATGTCCTATCCATGAACATAATGCAAAATTAAGTTGGAGTCTGGTTCCGGTAGCAGGTAAAAGGAAGCTGGGTCCCCAAGGATACACAGCACCACAGGCAAAGATTCACCACCATCTGGTGAGGCCCCCGCACCATGTGACAATCACAAATTTCTGTGTCCATTTGCCAAGACATTGCATTTTTCTTATTTTAAAAAAAAAAAAAAAAGTGAACAGAGAGGCAAACACAGACCAAGAGCCCCTTCTGGCACACAGTGCTACAGACACAACAGCAAAAAGTCCTACCAAGCACAGGTGAGAGGAGACTTTGAGAGCAAAGCGGATAATTTTGTACTTGATGGCAAATCGTTAAAAGTGAACCAGATGATTAAACTTAATGGAACAGCTACATTAAACTGAAATTAGTAAAAACCCGCCTCGGGCAGCCTACAACCTTTTATTTGTTGTTGTTTAACTTCTGTCTTTTACAGTGGCCTTGATGAATGACATCCCAAAAGAAAAATCCAATTAAAATCTAACTGCTCAATAAACCCGTAATGTCTGGCTGTGCCACTGCTTTCATGGGCACCAGTATCTTCTGTTGCCTCTTTTTCCCAAGAAAAGAGGAAAGAACCGGCCCCAGGGGAGTTCAGCAAAGGGGAGAAAAGTGGAGTCCCAAAACAGGCATGGTTAGAGGTTTCTGCTGTGAACACTGGGTCAGACCCAGATGAGGTTCACTAGGGAGAGAAGGTTAAATTCCTGTATTATCAGACAAGGCCTGAGTGAAGAGATGCATTTTCCCCACTAGTTTTCAAATATTGATAAATCAGAATTTTGATCTGCGAACACAATCCCTGTTCACACTCTTTCTTGGCATCTCCTCTGCGTCTCTGTATTGTCTCGGGTGTTTGTTCTATAAGTCATCGAAATGATCTTTCCTGACAGCTAAAAATAAAGTTTCTGATTACTTTTACCTGAATAACCCTTATGACCAGATGTGATATTCACCTACTAAGTGTGCAACAACAATTACATGTTGAAAATGATGAAAGAACTGGCCACAGAGAGTCTATAATCTAGTGCAATGCAGAATATAATCAATCACATGTGAAGACAGCAGTCGCCACCAGCTAGAATACTGGAGTTTGATAACAGATTTTACCTGAGAGATATGGGATGTTTGTAAAATTGGGTTTTCCACGCTTCAAAACAGAGTTCTCAAAGTCAGAATAAGAGCAAAAACATGCTGATTATTAACTGAAAACTAATGATGATAGCAACATCTTTAAGTTGGAAGGCATTTTGTAATTTATAAAACACTTATCGTATTTTTATCGCATGTTTACGTGGCAATTAGTGTGGCTTTTGTGTGTGGTGTCTAATTAGATCTTCACAACAGCCTTGTTGTGTAGCTCTTATTATCTTCGCTTTACTGATAAGGGCCCTGACTCAGAGGTTAATTAGCTCTGTTATACTCTTGCACTTGGGAAAGCAAAGAGAATGAACGTGACCCATACTTAGAACGCGTGTGTGGCCTCTCAGCACTATACTGAGCTGCTGACCACAGCTGCCTGCCTGCAGCAAGGATCCGAAGGGCAGTGAGGCTGGTTGCTTTACTCCTGACTTAATAAAATGGCTTTTTAAAAGTGCTCTTTGCTCATTAGAATCTGACAATGGAAAGTTAAACTTTCCCCAGCGGCTCTTTCTGTGTCATCATGGTTTCAAGTTTCCCTCAGCATATCACGTTGCACAAATCAGGGAGTGCTCTCATATTACATTTCTTATTGCATTTGTCTCACTTCTAAGCAATTTCCTCCTCATTCGCATTTATCTCCCATTATTCCTGCCAAATTGCTTTCAGAGCTACTAATTGTATGAATAATATTCTCATTCCCAAACTCTGAAAGTAACTATCTGTAGCTGGGTAACATTGGACCCACTTCCTCAATGAGAGAGAGAGACAGAGAGAGAGAGAGACAGACAGACAGAGACAGAGAGACAGAGACAGAGAGACAGAGACAGAGAGAGACAGAGACAGAGAGTTGCAAATTTGTTGGACAACAGGACTCTTCTTCTCTGCACTTCATGTAAATGATAGTGCACAGAACACACTTAAAAGTGTGTCTAACAAAAGCTGGTTTAGATAATTTCCTAAGTCCCCCTTTGCCCCTGGGAGTCTCTTTTCCGAGGTGTCTGTGGACACTCCTCTGAGCATCTCGTATGGTATTTGTCAAGAAGGCAGAGCTGTTATACCTGTTGCCTTTATTATGGTAACATGGGTCTTCTGTTTCAGAAATACTAAGAAAAGATGGACTAGCAGCCCTTCTACCAAAACTAACTAACTGTCTGTATATCTCTGAGCCTGTGTCTCATGCTTTGAGACACAAAAAGCACTCTTAAAACTTGTCAATAAAATTAGGTTATCTGACGACCTAAACTTCTGCTGGGTTTGAAAAATAGAATTCAGGAAATGACAGAAACTCAGTACTGTGGAAATGAGATTTGAGAGAGGAAATGTGGCTGCCTTTCCAAGTTGAGATCATCGTCTTCCACTTCCACGATATCCTACTATTTGTGTTCTTCAACACTTTATCCAAATCCACTTTACTGACAGTGAATCATCACAGCATCTGCTTGGTTATCTTTAGGAACCCAGTGCTCACCTCCTTATAATGCAGACCATTTCAACTTTAGCCCTGCTTTATGTATCAGAAGGTCCTTTTTTATTTTACACTAAAATCTGAATGTTAAACATCAGCTCATAAGTTACCTAGTAAGATAGTTTTCAGCCCATAAATTACATAGTAAGGTAGTTTTCAAGGCACTGTTCATGGCAGCACTTAAGATGTCTCTCAAATGTTTTGAGTTAAAATTTACAAGTAAATAAATGTATCTTCCCAAGAAAGGAATTATAGTCTCCATCATTAAAACTCCAAGAGATGGCTTAACCCCCTATATTCACCAAGCGACAGGATACAGCCAGTTGTCTTTGACTCAGAAATCAACATCGTTTTTAAGTACCATCATTTGTATAGTACATTTGCATGCGTGCAAGTGAGGAAGAAGGTGTGTAAGTAGAAAGCAGTAGTGAAAATAACTTCATTCTAGCAAAGGTAATACGCCCTTGAGTAACTTACTGTTGCTCTGGCTTTTAGTTTTTCCATCTATAAAACAAAAAGGATTTCTAACTTTTTCTCAAACTTTGTTTCAGTTCAGGAAAATTCCATGATTATAAGGAAATATGTTTATAATTAATGGTATTTGTTATTGTTGGGTTATGTAAATAATGAAAGAAAAATATCTGTATATTTTAGAAAGGATTGAATGAAACAGCACAAAGTGCATCATAAACACAAAAACAATTCAGGATCACATGCGTGACTTTTACTTTCTTTAATTTTTTTCTTCTATACTAGTTACATTCAGACCAGGATAGAGGAGATGGATCACTTAAATATATCCTTTCAGGAGATGGAGCAGGAGATCTCTTCATTATCAATGAAAACACAGGCGACATACAGGCCACCAAAAGGTTGGACAGGGAGGAAAAGCCAGTTTACATCCTTCGAGCTCAAGCTATTAACAGAAAGACAGGGAGACCTGTAGAGCCCGAGTCTGAATTCATCATCAAGATCCATGACATCAACGACAATGAACCAATATTCACCAAGGAGATTTACACAGCTACTGTTCCAGAAATGTCTGATGTCGGTGAGTGAGATGTGATTTCCACCAAGAACTGATTGTCTTTTATGCATCCTTCAAGCCAAATTTGCTGAGCTGAAAGAATTTAGATTGCTGAATCCCCACAGCAGCATGTTTCCAAGCCATTCACATAGAGATTGCTGAATCCCCACAGCAGCAGGTTTCCAAGCCATCCATATAGCTTTCTTATAAGTGCACAAGTGTTCTCTAGTATCACTGTGGTCTCATCTTGTTTAAGAAAACAGCACTTACTCTAATGATGAGAACTTGATGAGCAGCAGGGTGGGAAGTCAAAAGGGAGACAATCTCATCTCCTTTCTCTCTGCCCCTCTGAACTCTCTCTGTTGGGCTGAAAGACACCAGCCTTCTTCATTTCTCTTAGCCAAATTGGTATTCAGCTCCAAGGAAGGACTTCTCCAGGGGACTATAAAAGTCTAAAGAATAGAGACAGTTGCTTTAGGTATCTTCACTCCTAGAAACATCAAAGAATTCTATACATAAGAAACAGTGACAGATTCTAAATTACTCAAGTAAGGGGGTATTTTTATTTCCACTATGTCAAATTCAAAAGATATCAAATTACATAATAACTTTTCTATGATTCTGTCCTGTGGATATCAAAGAAATTTTCGTTCACAGATCCAAGAACTGGAAAATATCCAATCCACAGAAATGATTGTAAAACACCTAAATTTTTCTCATGAACTTGTTCTTCTCATTACTAGAAGCCACTTGTTTTTGTTGGAAAAAAATCTAACCATCATAAGCAGACAAAAAGATGGATTAGAATTCTTTGAAGAGAAAGGTTTATTAGAGAACATAATATTTTTCTTTTAAAAGGTAAAAGGCAGTTAATGAAGGGTGATCTTGTCAATGGGATCACCCAGAAGAGCTGTGATATACAGATCATGCACTGAGCAATTCTAAGGCAAAAATACACTTTCAAAGTCATATATGGTTACACATGTATTACAAATATTTGAGGTAGCTGGCAATAACATACCTTGACAAAGGGAAGGCTTTTCCAATTTTACATGCAGGCACAAAAATGTTAATATTCATCAATATTATTGTATATTCCATAGTATGGTTTATATATAATAATGGTATCTTAGAAAAATTACATAAATATAGTAGGACAGTGGCAGGGAGGTGAAAAGTGGACTACGGTATCAAACAGACCTAAATTTGAAACTATCGGCAGTAATAATGAGCAGTGTAGCCCTGGGCAAATTATTTCTCTGATCCTGATTCCTTTGATCTTCCAGTTCTATCTCTATAAAAAAATAAATAATAAATGACAACTCCTAAGGGTTATTATGAGAATTAAATCAGAAAACAGATGCAGAGCCTCTAATACAATATCTGGTAACTATCAGGTACCTAAAACATCCACAAAAGCATATACCCAAAACAGTTATTTCATATTAATGCAAATAAGAACTTGAGTGTTTGTGACTTCTGGTCGCTTTCCCTCTAAAATCACATCAGGCTCTTCATTTTCTCTACTTCCCTTTGCCAAACTACCAAGATGGGTAGTGCAATCTGTTTGTTCAATAGATAACACTGGCCAGATACTATGAAAGTGACTTAAAAATTCTTGTATTCCCTAGATGTAACTTCCTTGCCCTGTTCATGGATAGAAGAATTCCAGCAGTATTCTTACTGCTTATCTGAAGGGAAAATCAAGTTATTCCTACAATGATTTAATCAGAGAGTCTCACATTACTTAAGTAAAAAGTATGAAGGGCTTCACACATAATTTGGTGTGGGTTCTAGCTGTTTCTAGTTTTCACTTATACAAGGGTTGATCAAGAAGTACTGTCTGCATTTAAATTTTAAAATTTACTACAGTAAAAGAGGCAATAATCTCCATCCAAATACTCCCTCTTGATTGAAACACACTTACCTTATCAAGCTTGCCACTTTCTGAAACAGTCTGGAGGTCTTCTTTCACTGACTATCTTTAGTGGTGCTGCCATGGATGCCTCAATGTCCTGAATCAGTTGAAAATATGTACCTTCATGGTCATTTTGACTTTAGAGAAGAGCTGGAAGCCACATGGTGTCAGACCCACTGAATAAGGTGGATGAGGACACGCTTATGTTTTTATTTGACAGAAATTGCTATAAACACTTTCAATCAATTTAGGACATTAAGGCAGCCACAATAGTACAATTAAAGACACCTATGAAAGGATACTCCAGAACTGCTTCAGAAAGGTTGCAAGAATAGCAGGGTAAGTGTGGTCAATGTAAGAGGGATTCATGACAATATGCATCTTATTGTAATAAACATTTAACCACATTAAGAATTATAATCAAATATTCACCACATTTTTTATTATACCACGTGTTAAAGTTTGTTCTTGGGCTGCCAGTTCTAAAATCATAAAATAGGTGCTGCCTCAGGCCTTCAAGCCATTACTATCCAGAGAAAGAGTATCAATGACAGAATTTCTAGCAAAATCCTGAGAGACCTCCTGGTTGAATAACTCTTGAACTAGTCTTGTAGACAAAATAATGTAAGACAATCTTGAGTAATTTGAAAGAATCACCATAGCAAGAATATCATCAAATTGTGTTTTTGAGATGAGTGGAAACCACTTTCACTCAAAGTCACTGCCATTCCTGTATTTCTTTTTAACCTAACCCTTACAGTATTTATTAATGTTCAGTACGTGCCTTCACAGTGAGGAATCCAGGGCTTTTTAACCATGCATCTCATTGAAGATAGATTTGTACAAAAGTAAAACTCGTGCTTTTTGTGTGTCTGTATTAAGAAGCATAATGAACCCTTCATTTGATTTCAGTTTATGTTTCTGTCATTGCAGGCACGTTTGTTGTCCAAGTCACTGCAACTGATGCTGATGACCCAACATACGGGAACAGTGCGAAAGTTGTCTATAGTATCCTACAGGGACAGCCTTATTTTTCAGTTGAATCAGAAACAGGTTAGAGTTTCTTTTGGTCTTCTTTTTGACAATCTATAATTTTAATTGATATGCTCAGCTGATGTAGCACTTTTTTAAGTAAAAACAATCAGCATGATTGAATTTTCTTATATACCTCTGCCAAATCCTAATATATTTGTAAGCATGGCACTAGGATGATTTTAATCAAGAAATCAGATAATAAATCTTTTATCCACCATGCTTATGTAAGTAGATTCAGAAAATTACGTACTTCTTTATTTTTCTTCCAGTTCGAGGTGAAGATAAAAGACTAACCCTTTCTGATAGCTCATAGAAATTTTTACTGATAACATCGATTCTTCTGTTTCTAGTTATTAGATAGGACTGCGTCTCTCTCATCTACTCTGAAGCTGAACATATCTGTGTGACTGATTTATGCAAATAAAATGTGACTGGCGATGATGCAAGCAGAATGTATAAAGCTTCTGTACAGTTGGCCACAGTCATGTTCCTGACATACTAATCATGGAAACCACTGTTGAGACGGGCTATCCAGCCCAGATGGCCAAATGTTACCAAGAGCAGGACTTCCTACTTGTCTGTTCAAAGCTGGAACAATAATTAAACTAGTTGTGCAAAGCCACTGAGATTTTCCATTGTTTGTTGTCACATCATTAGCCCAGCCTAACTGATACAACCTTTAAAAGGAATACTTACGGAATCCTTTTCTTAATGTTTCATTGTCTCATTTTTCTGTATTCATTCCACAAAGTAGCATATTATCTGGTAATGATTCGTTTTTTAGTAAGCAGAATTAATATAGTAAATCACACACATTTTCTTGCTCTCAAAGGAGCCAGGTTCCTTTTGTGTGTTTTTCAAACATTTATTATTTTTAGCAGAAATCGGAACCTTTCTAGTTTACTACATTCGATTGGAAATCTGTGTGTTAAGCGTGCAGTTAACTTGGAAAGGATCCCAAGGAAAAGAAAATGTTGAGTTTAAAAACAATGAGAACTGAAAATTAGAATTACTCAAGTTAAAGGACCAGGGCTAAGGCGCGCTCCTGTATTTAAAGAGAGAAGCACTATTATCTGGAGAACAGAAAGCAGAAGCCAAGGCTATAGGAATAAAATTGACCTGTTGTCTAAGGTGTTCTTGTTTTAAAAAAAATTTAATGGTATTTTCAGCATCATTAGTTGTTAAGTACTGGAATGTGTGACTGGAGAAGGTTATAAAGCCTTCTCTAGTGATTTTTTTAAAGAAAGTTAATTTAAGCATAAACCCTCTATAGAGATTAAGTAAACTTAGAATTTCTTTCAACTAATTATCTTAAAACTACCTAGCAATAGAAATAAACTTAGCCTAACTTTAAAATGTTGGTTACTTTGGGGACCAGTTAAATAAATGTTCACATCAGCTTTAGGGAAAACTAAAGTCTCAAGAATTATACAAGATGATAATTGTGAAAGACATCATGCCATGTTTTTTAATACCGTAGTTTCATGGTTTAGAAAATTTTCAGAACATTATATATAGTACATATATTTGAGGAGCAATTAGCCACTTCAGCAATGTGAAACACAGAAGTCAGTTCAGGATGTGGCTTTCTGAACAATGGGTTCATGTTACACCTTAATGTCATTAGTTAAGCAGCTGTCGTAGTACATGTCCTGATGGCATAGACCATTATATTGCTTTGTCATCTAACACCCAGTATTTGTACTACTTGTAGTCTATACTATTATAGGATTTGACTTGTATTTGACTTTTTATTCTCCTTGTATTACAGGCATTTTAAAAATGTATCTCTCTTGCTTGTGTAGTTGTAATATCTTTCAGTATAAAGGCTGTATATAATCATCTTTATATCACTGAGACATCTATGTTGTACTTTGCATATTGTGGTGACAGTCTCTGTTTGTTTGCATAAGTAAATGAGTCCATAAATATTCTTAATGCATCCCTTTCCACCCCTAAATTCCACATCTACAGGTATCATCAAGACAGCTTTGCTCAACATGGATCGAGAAAACAGAGAGCAGTACCAAGTGGTGATTCAAGCCAAGGACATGGGCGGCCAGATGGGGGGACTGTCGGGGACGACCACAGTCAACATCACGCTGACCGATGTCAACGACAATCCTCCCCGATTCCCCCAGAGTAGGAACATTTGATTAAATGAATTTCTTTCATGCATCTTAAAAAATTCTAACTTTGAAAATATTTATTTTCTATTGTGGTCAGTATTGTAAAAATTTAAGGGCTTAGTAAGAACAGACACTTTTATTAAAATTATTAAAATGAGTTGACAACACCACTGATGCTGAGAAATATGAACATTTATGTTCTGCCATTGGTAATTAGTTATGTGGTTTCTAATAAGGCTGTTGTTTAAAAAAAGACATCATTATTTTTTTCTCTTATTAAAAAGACTACCAGAGACATAAATTTGCTTGAGCAGAACATATGTATAACCGCATGCTGCTATTTGTTAGGAAAAACCTGACTTTATGTTTTGTGAACTTAATCAGGCATGTAATCTCTTTTAAATCCTCACAATGCTTTGTAAGGAAAGAATTTATCATTTTCCTATTTCTAAAAATATGACTGCGAAAGCAACTATGTACTTAATCCATCTGTGATCATGGTTTTGTACATTATGACTAATTGAGATAGCCATACTGAAATCATCTGTAAAATTATTAACTTTTATGACTAGTTAAAATTATTAACTTATGATTAAATAGAAAGAAAAACCCATACCTGGCACTATAGACTTTGTGTCAAGCATTACAAGACTCTTTCCTCTTGCCCAATAGGAGCTGATTTTAATGTAATTTTTCTTCTGGAATAAAAATCTCATTCTGACTAGAACCTCATGTTGTTTCAATCAGTGAATAGAGAATATACTTAGTTTATCGGGGAATTTTTAAAAGATGGTCAGGTTACATAGACTTCCTTTACAATGGCAACCCATATCAATCAATAGGAAAGAGTTTAAGGTTTTTATTCAAGGATTTAATCAGAGCTAGCTAAATGCAAAGCCAGAATAGATAAATATTTTTTATATAATATGTAGAAGAAAAAATTTACGGAATATAAAATTTCCCAGAAAATATCAGGATAACCCATACTTTGCCCCAAAACCTCATTTTCAATATGGAAAGCTAGGAGGACAGGGGATGATACCATTAGGATTCACCATCACCTTGATACCACAGGCATCTGTCATTTACTCTACTCTTCCCTCACATAGCCTGTGACTTGTTACCAATGTTTTAAAGCAAAGGGACAGAGAATATAGAAAGAGGCAAGAAGTCCTAAAAATGAGGCTTGAATGCATTGAAGAAGCATAACCTATTTTATCATGTTACCAACAATGAGCCAATAATCAGGGAATTAATAATATTGAAGATCTATACTTCAGTGGTAGCACAGTCTGGGTTTTTTTTTTCAAACTTTTCCTATGAATGGTTGACAAAATATGAGTAAGAATAGAGAAACTTGTTTTTACTGCCTTATTTAATTCTAATCACATGCTTCCCTGTCAGATTTAAACTGAAACTTACATATAATCCCCTTAATTTTGCAACATGAGGCCATAACAAAATCATTTATCTATGAAATACTGTACAAATTTTGAGTTAGTAATAAAAGTATGGAAGAAACCTATGCATAGAAAAATATTGCAACAAAATTTAAAAGAAACAGTTATCCAAAAGGAAAAACAGAGCTTTATCATGCAGTGTATTTACCTATATCTCTAGCTCTGCAACTGGATGCAACTCTCCATATGAGTAAAAGGATGTCTACTTATATATAGTCCCCAAATTACTATAATTTACTTCTACCTTCTGCTAGTCTGAGCAATGACAGGAAAAAAAACTCACTTAAAGAATACCTAGTAATTGGCTTCAAGTCTAAGTTCCAATTAAGTTTTCTCTTCTTTCTCTTAGATTACATTCAGAGGATTCAAAACCTTCTGCTCCCTCCTCAAGCAGTTCAGTCAGTTTCACGGTAGCACCATAAACCTGGAACAAAAAAATAAAGCTCTCTATTTGCAAGGAGATAAGTCACAAAATAGAAGGAATATTCTTAGCAATCATAGTAGCCACAACACAAGCACAATGGAGCCCATTTATTGTTTTGAAGAACAAATATGCTTTTAAAGAAAGAACAAATCTGCTTCAATCTCTGATAATATTTTATAGGACTATAAGAAAGTGGGTTTGGGTTTTATAGTAATCCCCAGTACCTATGGTCTCACTTTCTGTAGTTCCACTTACCTGGTCAATCACAGTCCATAAATATTATAAAGAATATTTCAGAAATTAACATTTCAGGTTTCATTAACTTTTATTATGGCATATTCTTATAATTGTTGTAGTTTTTATTATTAATTATTGTTAATTTCTTACTGTGCTTAACTTACAAATTAAACTTTATCATAGTTATATGCGGTATACAGCATAAGGGGTTTATAAGCCAGCTTCAGGCATCCAGGTGGGGCTCGGAGCATGGGGAGGGGGTTAGCTTATGATGATAGACTATACTTAGGCTGTATTTGACTCATGTCTGTCTGATGATTAATAGGTACATATCAATTTAAAACTCCTGAATCTTCTCCGCCGGGTACACCCATTGGCAGGATCAAAGCCAGTGACGCTGATATAGGAGAAAATGCTGAAATCGTGTACAGTATCACAGACGGTGAGGGACTGGATATGTTTGATGTCATCACTGACCAGGAAACTCAGGAAGGGATTATAACTGTCAGAAAGGTAATGCTGTTTCTTCAATATCATGTGAATAAACGCACTATTTTCTGATCCATTTTCAGGTTACCACGGAGCAATTCACATCTCACATAAACGTTTCCTTTAGATTCTTATTCTACTAATTTTTGTTTTTAAAAACCCTAATTAATTAATTCAAATTAGACGAAGATATCATGGGTTGGTCTTTAGAGCTCCAACACAATATTATATGTTCATTAATTCTGTATTTTAAATAGATTTTTTTGTCTAAGTCAATAATGTAAATAAATGACACACATTAAAACACATGAAGCAAATAATATAAATGAACAGTGGATAAACAGACCATCCCAGACACTACTTCAAGTGCTGGAGGAACAGCAACCCTTAAAACACAGGCTTTGCTTTCCTAGAACCTGCAAACCAGGGAGGGAAGGAAACAAATAAATAAGCACACAAATGTGTAATGACATGTTGTGGTACCAACTTTAAAGCAAAATGGATAATGTAAGGAGTGATCAAGATGACCTGAATTAGAAAGAGAAGATATATAAAGACCACAAATTTCCCGTGACTTTTTGGCTGTTTTCTGAAACACAGTGATAATAAATCTTTTATGTACTGAATTCTCGTTTTCACCAATGTGCTTATGCATTATTTGACTGCCAAAGTTTTCTAGTACAGCAAAGCAGTATACCAAAGTTAAAAAACAGTAATAAATTTGGTGCCCTAAGGCTAAAAATATCAGTTGTGGTTAATGTTTTAATGACTTCCCTTTCATCATATGCAGTATAATATTTTCTCCCTCTTTTTGCACACTGTTAGGTTTACTGATAAATATAAGCTTAGGTGGGTGTAAATAACGATAAAGTTTTTCCTCTTCAGAATATGCGTTAATATCTGGAAACATAATAAAACATGTTTCAGTGACACTCAGACCAATATTTTATATGGTAACATAATTAGGAAACCTATTAGTGTGCATTAACCTTTTTAATTTTCGTGGTGCTTTATCAGATTCAAACTGAAATTTTGCCTAGGCAGCTAAATCACATTCACTAACATCTTGATCAATGCTGTTTCTAGCGAGCCTTGTTACTTTATCATCTAAAACTAAACAAGTCAGTAATAAGCACTTGGATTCTCTGTGTCTCCGAAAGCAAAGAGACTTTTCCTAAAGATCTTTGACAACCATAATCATGCCTTCCTTTGGCAAATAAAAAATCCAATTCCCTTATCAGGATATCATTCAGAGTATTTTATTAACTCATGAAAAATAAATTTTAACTTCTTGTATTTGGATAAGGAAGAAGTAATCATGATGCAAAGCTAGCCACACCTTAATCACTTGGGGAGGTTTTGCCATTCCCACCCCATGTACAGTATTTTGATTTAGTGGACCAGAGGAGGGCCCAGATTGACAAGTTTTCAACACAGTAGGTAATTAAATCCAGATGTGAGAACATCTGACAGAATAATCTACTACCTATTACCAGCTTTCCCATGGTGACCTCCTCTAACCAGTATAAGGACTATCTTAAAGGAAAGGTTAGGCTGAAGCAGATTCTGATTTCCAGCTTCTGTTCTGCCACGTATGAGGCGAGCACCTCAGCACCCACTCGTGGTTTCTATGCACACTTTGTCACAATTGTGTGGCATCTGAAATCCTCCATAGATTGCATAATAATTTACTTCCTACTGGTCTAACCTGTGGGAAAAAGTTAACTATACCTGTATTTACTATATAATGATTTCTGTAAACAACAATCACATCTTTTATCAGAGATTTACACACCCTCAAAAAAAAAGTTCACAAATTGGCTTCTTTCTTCATCTTGGCTGCTTTAAGTTTGTCATTTTCCTCCCCAAGCTCTTGGACTTTGAAAAGAAGAAAGTATACACCCTCAAGGTAGAAGCCTCCAATCCTCGTGTAGAAACTCGGTTTCAATACCTGGGTCCATTCAAAGATTCAGCCACGGTGAGAATCGTGGTGGAGGATGTCGATGAGCCACCTGTCTTCAGCAAACTAGCCTATGTCCTGCAAATAAGAGAAGATGCTCAGATAAACACGACCATAGGCTCAGTCACAGCTCAAGATCCAGATGCCAGCAGGAATCCCATCAAGTAAGCACACTTCTGCAATCTCTCTCTCTCTTAAGTCTCAGTTATGTCTCTGCACATGAGAAAACGAGAAATCCCCGTTTTCTCCCATAACACAGTTCCTGAAAATCTACCCCAAAGAGCATCTGTACATCTCCTTGCTCAATGCACAAATATTATTTTGGCAGCAGCATAAACCTACAATGTACAAATTTTAAAGAAAAAGAAAACATAAGATGAGCTGCAAGATGTTGACTATTTGCACAGACATAGCAAAGGTGATGCTGTTCAATGGCCTCAGATTTTTTTTAAAGATTTTTCTATGTTTAAAACATAGAAATCTTAAAGATTTATCAGAGAGTGGAATGGAGAAACAAACTGGACTCTGGATCTGACAGCTTGCTTCTCAAGTGTGGGAAGACCCTAGCATGCAATAGAGACATAGTGAGTCTCTATTTGAACATGTGATTTTTCCACTTGTTAATGCAAATAAAAATAAGAGGTATCTCCTGTTATGTCTGTGAAATCCAGGGTAAATTAATAAAGCAGAATCCAGATTTATGTCCTATAAGCACAGTCTGATTTTTCTCATACTTTCCTGACACTTTAGTTTTAAATCATGCTGCCAGAAATTCTCTTTGCTCTTTGGGTCCACTGATGGTTTGAGTACTGTATAATTTTACAAAAGTGCAAGAATCATCCAACTTTCAGCCTTCAGCCAGCAGCCTTGTTGATTAAGCAAGAAAAGTACAAACCAGAATGCCATTGTGCAGAATATCCCCCATAAATAAAGCAAGGAGATTGAAACTAAGTCTTGCCAGGGAGTCCAAAAATGCATGCGAGTCAGCGTGGGGAGCAGTTGTTTCCAAACATTTAAGCCATCTCATCTCCTTTGTTCCAATGAAACCTTACAACACTACCACACCTAAAACTCAGAAATGCCTGTCTGACTTTCAGGAAGTACTTTTAAATCAATGGACAGGTAGCCTCCTGAATTATCATGCTTCTAGAATATCTTTGAACTGGACTATGGTCAGTCCAAAGTAGCTACATGCTAGTTCCAAGGATCAAGTATTTCTCTCTCTGTACTTGCTATTATTAATAAAGAAAATACAAGGTAGCTTTCACTTAAATTGCACAAACAATTTAATTACTTTCACAACTATTCTCACTTGGCGTTTATTCTAACTGTATATGGAAAAAAAGTCTTAGCAAGTCAGCATCAAGTCCAATTTAAAAGTGTTAGTGCTAGAAGTTTACAAATATGAGCTTCAATTATCTCTTTGATAGATCAACATGTTTTGGATTTGAAGATATAATGTCTTTTGGGAATTTAGGCTATATTTCTATATCTGTTACTTTTTATAACAAATACCATTTTACCCACTGCATTATTTTATGTTTTATGAAAGGAAGTAGTTAACTTGTCAGATTGGGTTGGCTGCTAGTTAATTTTAAGATTTTTTTCCTGCCAGCCTTCCCTTGGTACATATGGATTTGATGCATGGATATAGATTTAAGGCCAGAAATATGCATAGATATATTGGTATATAAGCCCACATTCAAATGACTCCTTTCATAGGGCAAAATTCGTTCTCATATTAAGAAACTAAATCTATACAAAATTTTGGTTACTCTAGACAAAAACATTGAACACCTAGGGGCTAGGCAATATGTTAGAAAATAAATTCAGAATTTTTTTTCCCAAAAATCAATTTATTATTCTGTAGGCATGTTTAATTTTATAATCAAAAAATAATTTTTTTCTAAAACTTTTATCACAAATGCCTTTTGATCTCTATGAAAGAATCTTATTGCACTATACATACCTACTATGAAAATTTTTATACAAACATATCTCCTTTTCTAACCCACAAATCTCCCTGACTTAAGGATATATTAAAATACAAATTATTTAATCAAAGAATACAATAAAGTCCTAGGGTTAAATTTTTTAACACAAGAGCTCTCCAGCACAATGCTCTGCTATAACCATGATGGAACTGATTACCTTGTTTTCTAATAATAATTACAACTAATGTTATTGGATAGTAAATATCCTGAATAAAAATTGAAACTGCCATGAAGTAAAACAACAAAAAGCAAATAATGTTTTGTATGCAAGCATCTTTCCTAAACAATGCAGATAGTTTAGGTTTTGTATTCATTTTTTAATTTTGCAACTAGGGAAGAATAGTATAAATTGGGGAATTTTCTAGATAGTTAATCTCCTTTTAGAATTTAAAGTTGCATTCAATTTAAAATTTCCTTACCACTTAGCCTTTATTTCAAGGCTTAATGTGAAAATGTGATTACTTGTAAAACTTATAATTTAAAAGCAGGAGGCACGGAGACAAAGTACGATAAAGATTATTGCCGTGTATAATTGTAACAGCTTATTAAAGCACTAGGCAGCACTTCTGGAGCTTGACATTCTTCGTGAGCAAAAATATGCTCTTAGGTTAAATAATTAAATTTCCCACAAAGCTTATGAATATTGAGGCTTCCTTTTTGTAATTAACCATGCATTATAAATATTTATTATTCTTAAATTAAAAATGAAGAGAGGTGATCAAGTTCAATGTTGCTGCCTAAATTCTTAATAAATGGTGATCCACAACAGAAATGGCAAAAACAATGGCCTTTTTGCCTGTTTCAAACTTTTTCATAATAAAAATTAGCTTATATACATTGAAAATCAAAGTCCTCATATAACTATATGTATACCCACTGTGTACTTCATTAATTCTCTTTAAATCAAGTTTAAATAGCCTGTAGTAGTTGAATGTCTATTTCATTTAGACATTTTCTAGATAACAAAAATAAATTTTGCTAAGACAAAATATATCATTCATTATCATTCACTAATGTTTTAAATGAAAATAATTCCTTGAAATAGAATCTGGAACCTGGTATACCAAAATAGTAACAATTTTCTGATAGCAATCATAGTAATTCCACATGGATTTGACTAGGTAGGTCATTTAATTTATATTTCTACTCAACTACATTTTTAAACTTCTTATAATTCAAATTTTGAGGTTCCAGCTGACATGGTTGATTGCTTTTCTAGTGTCTTTAACATTTCAACTTTGTTCAAAGTTTTCCTTTAATGCTCTTTGATCATACACATAGATTTATAATTCTCCCTTACATGGCTATTCAAAACAGTAGCCACCAAAATGATTAATTAATTAGTTAAAACTAGATAATTCTGTAAAACTAGTAACAAATTTATAAGTAAGATTACAAACTATTTCAGGATTGATGGCTCATTTCTTCTTTGGCTCCTAAGACACTGCTCTTGGTCTCCCTAGAATGTGTCCAGACTGTCATACTTGAATATTTTTCCAATTCTTACTCTGCTCCAGGCAGTGTTCTAGTCCTCATTCTGCTATGAGTCCTGTAGTGCTTTTCATCCTTCGCTGGATGTTTGCTTCCTGAACAGTTGAATAAGAAATCTAAGTTGTCAGTCCAGATCTTTATCTTGAGCTGCAGATTAGGGAGCTGCTCCTAAACTTTCCCATGCACTTCAGATTCAGCATATCAAAAAAGAAACAAAATCTTTCAATCCTATTTCTCACTCTTCTTTCATGAGCTTATAACAGCACCATCCAACCATTCTCTCAGTTTAACCAATCATCTTTGGTAAATGATTTAGATTCTGATACTTCTCTGCTTGGAATGCTCTGATAGATTCAAATTGTGGCTTAAAATAATCCCAGTTGTGAATGCAAACTGGTACAGCCACTCAGGAAATCAGAATGGAGATCCTTCAAAAAAATGAAAATAGAAATTCCATTTGATCCAACTACTCCCCTTCTGTCTGGGTCTCATCTAAAAAAAAAAATTGAAGACACCATAGTATAGTGATACATGCATACCCAAGTTTATAGCAGCACAATTTATAATAGCTCAATCTTGGTAGCAGTCTATATGTCCATCAGTGGATGAATAGATTTTTTAAAATGTGGTATTTGTATACAACGGAGTACTACAGTGCCAAAAAGGATACATTTCAGTCATTTGTAGGATAATGGGTTTACCTTGATATCATAATAGTGAAATAAATCAGATACACAAGCTTAAATATTGCATGGTTTGACTTATTTGAGAAACCCAAAGTATAAATAATTTAAAAGCAAAATAAAAGAAAGACAATAAGAATCAGGAAGTTAGATCCTTTGCAAAGGGGAAAGATCAGGAGAGAGAAGAGAGGGGAGTGGAAAGGATTAAATAGTGTTGTGCACATGTACCAACTTACCAAGATAAATCAGGATTTACTGTAAACATGTACCAATAAAAAAGTTTAAAATAAATAAATAAATAAAATATTTGCAGATAAAACTAAAGTAAATCCCACTTTCCTGTCATGGCCAGCTCATCCTTCTGCAGTCTGGACTCTGGCTCTCTCCCCAAAACCACCCCTCCCCATCTCCTTCCTGAGCGCAACCATACGGATTATCTTCTTTAGAAAAATAATCAATACCCTATATGTTTACAAAAAGGCACATTCATTAAAATCTTGAGGTTCTATAAGCTTGAGTTAAAAAATATAATAACTACTATACAGACCTGATGAAAATTTCACATTTAAGAAAACCATAGTTGTGATCCTCAAAATCATGCAACTTGTCTACTGAGTTTATGACAAGGGCCTCAACTGAAGAGATCTTATTTCTCAGAGTATTTTGCTTAATATGAAGTTATAGATATTTAAATATGTACTATAAGTAGAAAAGCTGAATATAGCAGGTTTGGGAAATAGTATTATAGTGCGAGAGTAGGAATTGCCATTTAAATCTTACTCTGCATTTGCAGGTACTCTGTTGATCGACACACAGATATGGACAGAATATTCAACATTGATTCTGGAAATGGTTCGATTTTTACATCAAAACTTCTTGACCGGGAAACACTGCTGTGGCACAATATTACAGTGATAGCGACAGAGATTAGTAAGTACGATCCAGGACTACTACTGTCCCTATTGATGGAGTGAATGTCCCATACGGATGATCCTGCTCAATACCTATTGAGGGGAAGAGCCCTGAATGATTTGCAGTAATGTCTCTTCTAAAATGTGCTAGTTCATTTCATAAATGAGCTGGAAATCTTGCAAGTTTAGCAATTTGTAAGCAATAAAACAAGAATGCATCTCTCAAATGAGACTAAACTTGTACTTATTGGATTTGATTCCAAAATGTTTATAAATTAGAACAGTATAGAAACAACTGGGAAAAAAACGAGCCCTCAGACATTGTGTCAGGGAGCAGAGGATAAGTGGGGCCAAATAGCTTTAAAATATAGACATTGTTTAGAAATGTTTTGGATATTTATTCTCTCACTTTCTATAGAATTTCTGTTTTCAAATCTTTATAGAATGAAGAAACAAAGTTATCACTTCTCCATAGTAGGTCAAAGTGAGCCACACAAACCACCAAGTAATCAATAAAATGTTTAGAATAAAGTTTGTGGTAGTCCCATGAAACTTAAGGCAAAGGGAAAAAAATGTGCCAAAAGAACCCTTCAAATAAAATGATTATATTCAATGAAAATTAATATAAATTGTAAATACAAGGTGTAGGCTGAAGCACATAAAAGAAAAATTATTTTAAAATAATATTTTCATGTTAAAGGCTTCTGGATTATACACTTTTCTAGCTTTGCGTTTAATTTTAGAAGTTCTAAACAATTTTTCTCTCTGTTGGATATCTAGTGTGAAATATTCCATAGCAAATGACTTGTTAGGTTGTATGCTGTCAACATAACTCACGAGATTTGAAGTAGCTGGAGCATATTGCATGGAATAGTAAATAACCAATAGAGATAAAGAGCAGCACTGTTCTTTTATAGTGATAAAGACACCTCATTAGGCATTTATTAGACAGGAATTTGCTCTTCAGGATTTGTGCCCAAGATTAATGCGAGTATACTAATAACAGCACATCTTTAAGGTTTAAAATTACAAAATGATCTTCTGTTGAAAAAAGTATTTTTCAAATTATCATAATTTTAATTTTCACTTAAATAGTCATTTCATAAGTATTTAAGCTTATGCTTAAAATTATTTTAGGGCTGAATTTTGTGTGACACATTTGAAAGTATTAGTGATTAAAATCTTTTAAAATTCACTATCGGCTGCTCGAACTTAAGAAAGATGGTGCACGAAAAACGTCAGACGCAAGGGATCTTAAGAACCTTTTTCTGCTGAAAAAACAAAACATTTTCACAGCCAAGTAAGAGAATAACAGTAGCTATTATGCTACATATCATTATCTTCAAAGTAGTTACTCAGTACAAAATATAAACCAAAAAGATTCTTATAAAAAAGTAATAACACAAACTTTCTTTTCAATGAACTAAGATAAACTATTAGTATAAGTGAGACAAGTAAGCATACATATTGAAAGAATCTTATTGATGAAACTTCGTAACTACCTTTGATGTGCAAAAACCAAGAGCTTGTATAAAACAACACACTGCCTCTCCAAGTCCTTTGCTCTTGTGTTTCCTCTCCCCAGAAAGCCCAAAATACTCCCATGGCTTAATCTTCCTTTTCAGGCATGTTAGAGGGGAAATGGGCCTCATTAGAGAATCTGTTCCCATCATACTTTCAGAGGTACATCTACCTCTCTCCTCCCCTTTGTCCTGCTTAGTCTCCATAGATTTTACTACTTAGTGCATTATAGACTTATGTGAGATAGTTTGCCTAATTCAGTCTTAGACTAAATCTCCAGGAGATAAACATTGTTACATTCTTTGTTATATTCTGTATAAGTCCCAGCATCCCAAATAATACCTAGCACATATTAGATATTAGATGGTCACTGAGTAAAGTGAACAAAAAACATATATACATGAGTGAAATGGATGAAGACAGCAAAGAAGAAAATTCCAGTTCCTGACCCTTATACCAGGAATCTGTCTTGTAGCTCAGCTACCCAGGAGGCTATCACAAAAGTCAACCAAAACATTTCATTTACCCCAGTCTGACTCTGTTTATCATTATTCTAGGTGAAAAACTTGGGCTTTGGAGTCAGACAGATCCAAGTTGAACCTAAGTTTAATTCCTTATTATCTCTGTGAAAATAGACAAATTACTCAATTTCCCTGGGTCTATTTCTTCATCTATAAAATGGGGAAGTAATTGTATCTATATTGGAAGCGTCTAAAAATTAAATGAACCCATGTACCAAAATTCTAAGAGTGATGTAGCCTGCAAACTAAAAAACTAAAACACTTAACAATCTTTTGGTTTCCTGATGGTCTATTTATTTGTCTTCTGATTCCTTTTTGTGTATTTTTCCTGATCCACCTGTAAACTTGGCCTCCTTAAAAAATCTACTTCTAAAATGCCATTCCTTATTTGGCGTCACCATAGTGTTAAGTATGCAGGTATATTGCATCAACACATGTGGGTATTTCTAGAAAGTATTTCCAACTTCAGAAATATCAGATTACTCAATTCCTCTTTCTTGTGGCTACGCTGGTATTCAATGTCCTTGGAGACTCTAGGAATGAATGAGTGCATGTTGTCTAAACAGGATTGGTGATCAGCATATAAATGGTTGTTCTTTCTTTTTGATATGTGGCAGATAATCCAAAGCAAAGTAGCCGAGTACCTCTATATATTAAAGTTCTAGATGTCAATGACAACGCCCCAGAATTTGCTGAGTTCTATGAAACCTTTGTCTGTGAAAAAGCAAAGGCAGACCAGGTGAGTTCTATAAGAAAGTCCATTCAAATTGAAAGATTAATTTAGATCTTATAATAATTCAGATGATACACAGAGCTCAGGGATAGTTTTGAATTATCTATGAAGTGAATGCTAAGGAGATTAATACTATAAATATGAGCCATGACAAATGTTTAACTTGCATAAGAGAACAAACAGTTTTTAAGAACTGGAAGTTTGTGAGTCTCCAAGTCTGATCCTGATTCTAAATTAGTCAGAAATTTTCATTAAAATAGATTAGTTTCAGCATTATTGGAAAAATCTTTATTGATGAACAGATAGTTTAATTACCATATGTACTCAAAAATAATAATGAACATATTTTGCAATTGCCCATATTTCATAGTTTTACTTGTTTACATTGCCCATCTGTACAAGTTATACAAATTCATGAATGTTTTACTGTTTTACCCAATTTGTCACCACCTGAAATAGGACTTTGCTGCCAATGATATAAAAATTATGTTACAATTTGTCAAAATAGAAGTGCACTATTAAAGTACATGGAAATGTGGCAAGCTGAAGTTACTAGGTTTTATATGCTAATTTCTTTTTTTAGTCTTCTCCAAGTTGGTAGCTCATGTTCATGCAAAGACTGCATTTCTAAAAGGTTGTCCAAAGAGTCTTTCCATTTTGTTAAATTACAATGTTATCAGAGATCGTGATTTTTCTTATAGCTCTGTATTATTCTGGCAGTTTCTCAGCTAGGGTGACTTGGGTCCCTGGGAATATTTGGTAACTGTCTGGAGACATTTTTGATTATCACAATTTAGGAGGGTACTACTTGCATCTAGTGGGTAGACCAGTGTTGCTGCTAAACATGTATACCCCCACAATCAAAGAATTATCTGTTGCTTTCTGACTTTTTGACCAAAAAAAAAACCCACAATCAAGAATTATCAGTTGCTTTCTGACTTTGTACCATTAGTTCTTTGAATACAGTGGTTATTATTTTTGAGAGGTTATTATTTTTAGTTAAAACTTAAAATTATATGTCTTAGTTACTTTTCTCACTGCTGAGACAAAATACAGAACACCCACAAGATAAGGGATGAAACGTTTATTTAGTTCCAGGTTTGTAGAGATTTCAATTCATAATCAGCTGGCTCAAAGGCAGGATAGCAAAACAAACAGATATCACAGAGGAGAAACAGCTCATGGTGTGCAGAAGTTCGCAAGCAAACAAGGGACACATAGCTGTTCTGTCCCTTGTATCTTATCCAGACTACTCAGGCCAGGTAGCACTCACACCCTTAATGAAGGTGCCCTTGATCCTAGCACTGCACCATGAATCAGTCCCAGCATCACACACTTTAGATCCAGCCACCCTTGAAAAAGCCCCATCTAAGACTGCATGAGGCTTTGGGAGGAGGGACATCTAAACACAAGCCATGACATCATAAAACCAAACATTTTACTAGAAAACTGTAAGAAAGAAACACTTGAGTTATGAAAGTGCTACTGTTTTTATTTCAGTTGATCCAGACCCTACGAGCCATTGACAAGGATGACCCTCACAGTGGACATCAGTTCTCTTTCTCTTTGGCCCCTGAAGCAACCAGTGGCTCAAACTTTACCATTCGTGACAACAAAGGTAAACAAGCTCAATTTACCTTCTCTATGAACCTATCCCTGTCTCTGTTGGGATCTGTTTGTGTATCTGTGTCTGTATCTATGTCTACAAATTCCCATCACAATTGGTTCAACAGACAAGGTGATGTCCACAAACACTCACCACTTTGCTTTCGGTTCCAGACAACACGGCGGGAATCTTAACTCGGAAAAATGGCTATAATAGACATGAGATGAGCACCTATCTCCTGCCTGTGGTCATTTCAGACAACGACTACCCAGTTCAAAGCAGCACTGGGACAGTGACTGTCCGGGTCTGTGCATGTGACCACCATGGGAACATGCAATCCTGCCATGCCGAGGCCCTCATCCACCCTACGGGATTGAGCACAGGGGCTCTGGTGGCCATCCTTCTGTGCGTCGTGATCCTACTAGGTAAACTGCTTCTCCCTGCATCCTATCTCCCCTTGGTGAGGGGCACACACTGTCACTGTGACACTCTAGATTTTTCCGCCTCCCCCATTAAGGCATACAGCCTGATCTAGGTGAGTAGAGTTGTATGCTGAGCATCTGTGTTGTTCAAACATTTGCTTGAAAATGGCTTTAGAGAATGAACAGTTGTGAAATTTGCCCATGTCTTTGTTTTTTTTTTAACAAAGAGTATTTTGTCTCTCAGACTAGAAATGAATCTCAGGGGGATTTGAGGACAATAGAAATATGACCTTTTCATTTGTTGTTTAATGTTTAAGTTGGCAAATATTGTTAAATTTTAAAGAGTAAAAGTTGTCTAGCTTGGAATGTCTGATGAAGGCCATTTCTGCAAAGGTAAAGTTGAAGATGAATGGGATAGTGAAAAAAGGATTTTGATGACTTTTTCTTGGTCATACATGAAAAATAAGAGCATGGAATTTTCTTTAAGCCAACAAACATTTTGATCTATGCACTACTTTCAAAGGTTACTATATATATATAATGTCTGTTATTTTCAGATTCTCAATGATAACTTCAGTGACTAAGGAAACAAACCTGGAATCCAAAATAAATTCAGTAAAAGTGAAAATGGAGGTCTAACAACAACTCAAATAAATTTTTAATTCTAAACAACCAATTAAACCAAAACATTGGGTGCAAATTATTCAGTGGACCCTTGACTGTTTGTGAGCTGACTGGCCAGTGCAGCCCTTCCAAAAATAAATGCAAGACTTATAAAGTTTGCCTGTACAGTTAAAATCAAAAATTAGAAGTTAGAGTTAACCTAGATTACAACAGGGAAAAAAAATTCTAAAACATAGAGTCACTTCAAAAAGAGTAAAATTATCCAAGAAAAGAAAGATGAAGGATTCCTGCCCAAGAGCTTCTCGTTCCAAATCCATGTTGCTAATTATAACAGAAGCCTTGAAATTCAACTTAGAGCTGTGATTTCCCCTTATCAGCTAAAATTTGGGCAAGTATTTTGAGAGGAAGATAAATAAAAACTGAGAGTGAGCAAAGACAGATCAGTGTTCCTAATGCTAGAAGCCTATAAAATTGTTTGGAAGGGAAGGGCATGAATATTCTTTTTGATAAAAAGGAGTATTTTCAGAGAAGTCCTGGGCTGTCAGGGCTGTGCATGGGTTCCTTTTACGGTCTGAAGAAAGAAGCTAAGCTAGCTTCTTTCTCCTCTCCTATAGGAGATTCCTACTTTCCTTTATCATCAGTCCATATTCTCTTCTGCATTTTCCTCCAACTCAGTCATCCGAGCTTCACCTTTCATTCCCTTCCTCCAAAAAATTAATTGTCCCTTCATTAGGGCTGGGGATTTATTCCCAACTGGCCTCAGTGCCTCTCACATCTTGTTTAGACTCTTGGGAATCTCATACTTGATAGAAATGGAGAAAATTGTACTTAAGCTTAATGAGGCCCACACCAGGAGCTGGATGCAGCAAAGGAATTTTACAATTGTGTATCTCACTGACTACTGAGGGACACCTGGAATGTATTTATCTGCAATTAAATATGAAGGCTGAGACCCCAAAATGTGAGGTTAGATGTGTAACAAGTGGTAGAACCGAGTGCCAAGCCTAGGATTTCACCCACTCCGTGCTGCCATCTGCTATCCTTGTCACTTTATTGACAGCAGAGCAATTTCCAGGCTGAAAGAGAGGCCAGATTTAAATGGGACAGTTGGAGAAAGTGAAAGCAAACCCAAAATCTTTTCAGAAAAAGAAAGCTGCACTGACATATGAAGAAACCAGGTTTTAAAAAAGTAGACCAGGGGCTGGAGATTTAGCTCAGCGGCATAAGCGCCTGCCTTGCAAGCAGGCAGTCGTGAGTTTGATCCCTGGTACCGATTAAAAAAAAAAAAAAAGAAAGAAAGGAAGTACACCAGAGAGTGAGATGTCGCTCAGCAGCAGGGCACTTGCCTTGCTTGCAGAAAGCCCAAGTTCAATCCCAAGTATCAGCACCAAAAACATAATCAGCTATATAAACAGATCACATGGAACTTATTTTTAAGAAATAAAACAATAGAAACACCCAGATAACAACTGCACCTCATGTTCCTATGGCACTTTGTATGTCTCAAAAAACTTCATTCTGGTTACAGCATGGAGGACCATATTATTCCTCCTCTTCTACATATTAAAAACAAGCTAAAAAGGTTACACCATTTAAGTTAACCTAGATCTGCCAGTATTCTATTTTTATGATGAGATTGAGCCCAAATTTGCCCGAAGATCTCTCCTCTACAAAAGCTTTATTACTATCCTCTAGCCCTACATGGGTGGGGAAAAAGGAGGCTCAATCCCTGATAAGGGCACCTCGAGATATATCATTGTTTTAGAATTCTTTCTACATGCTTAGAAATCGATCTATAAATGGCAACTTTCAGAAATACCTCACTTCTAGACAGCTATAAATTCTGTTCAGATATGATTGTAGCAAATAAGATCGAGGTAGTTTTATCTACAGAAGAATTAAGCCGAGTAAAAAGCCTTTGAATTTTTGAATGTGCCTTCTCTCTTTAGATAGCTGTCCTTCCATATGTGCATAGGACTAAAAATAAGACATCTTGGTGCCTTAAACTGGAAAAGAAGTGAGAAGTGATGAATACCTGCTCTCTTGCCTTACATGACTGAAAGAACTCATGCACATTAGAGTTCAGTTCTCCGAGGGACAATTGGCGTGGCTCTATTTCCTAATCCCAAAGGCTGTCCATATTTTTACAACCCTGTTTTGTAAATCTATGTCATGGTTACATGGAAACCAGCAGGAAAGATAAACCATGGTCATCCCTTAGCCCAGAGCCCTGCAGGTCATCCCCTCCATGCCTCCCCCACCCACCACAGTAAAGTGACAGAGGTGTAGAGGCCTCCAAGGCCTCCAGGAGCAGAGCCCTTCTCTACTCCTTTCCTTGGCTCCTTCTAGTCCAGTTACCCAGGCTAAACTGTCTGTCATTGGCTGTCATTCCAACAGTGTGAATGTCCCCACCCTGTGGGTCTTTCCTGCAGCACCTTCCTCTTTAGATAACTAACCCTTGGGTAACCTCTGTATCTGTCTTAGGTGATGCAACCTCCCTTCAAAAAACACGGCCAGCCCCTGGAACCTATAGAAAGCTCCCCATCCTGCCATTTCCTGCTTCACTTTTCCTCGTTTACAATGTGCTTACCACTTTCTAATGATTTCCATCTTTACTTTACACGATGTCGGTTTTCTGTCTCCATTCACCATTCCCTACACCCCCGCCAACTCTAGAAGAGGAGGACTCTTTAGTGCAGGTTTTTCATAGGATTTAGATCCACACCTGCCACCTAGTAGGTACTACATAAATATTGAAATGATGAATGGATGGATATCCTGGATTTTGTGACAAATGAGGCATCAGGATGTTCTCTGGCAGCAGCAGAGATTATAAACACACACTTGAAAATGGAAAAGTTACATTTCTTTTGGCAATAGACAGTAACCCAAATAATTTTCAAGCATGGCAGTTAAGAATGGGAGCTTTTTAGTCTAACAAACACCGATTTGAATGGCTCTTCCATATGACATTTCTGTGCCTTAACTTTCTTTTATGTAAAATAGGGCTATAAAAATGATACTTTCTTCACAGTGCAATCATGATAATTCACTGAGGTTCAGTTTAGGAAGCATCTAGCACAGTCACCAGTACAGAGAAAGCTTTCAATGTATAAGTAATTATTAATACTGTTAATGTCAGAAATTATAATATATAGACACGTGGGTCTCCAGGCATCTATTATTGTAAGAGAGATGTTCTTGCCCACTAAAAACCCATTGTTCTGTAATCTTGCTGCAAAATTTCAATTTTCATGACTTATAGAGCTGGGCTATGTGATAGGAGCCACAGTAAATTACTATTTACCAGTACCATTACTGGTACTGCCTGTAATAAACTTCTCTGGAGAAACCTAACTTAATAATGTGCTTTCTGCCTAGGATGGCTGTTTTCCCTGTAAGTCGTTGCTATATGTTTATTCCCATCCATAGGTCCATTTGTAGATAGATGTGTCTCTCTACAGGTAGCCATCTTTGTTCTACTGGACCAGCTGTGAAGAAAGATCAGGAGCTATTTAAACACAATTCTTACTTTGCCTCTAATTTGTGTGAGAAGGAAAAAATCAAAAAAGCAAACATTGCGGGTACCAGGGAATAAGAACCTTTGAAAAATAAAGAATTGTTGTTTAGATGTGTTTGTTCTATTTAGTTCATGTAAAATAGTAAGGAAGGTGTACTGTTATCTGCCCCCATTTAAATCGGCTGGCCTTGAGGTCCACAAAAGCTTTTTGAATCTCAGCCTCTCCCGGTATTGTCTGTAATGATATTTCTTTTTATGGAGAAAACTTTTGTATGCAAACATTCACATCTGTACTTTGGGGTTTAAATTAATTTTACACCTTTTCAAGAAAAAGGAAAAATAATGTGTAGTGCAAAAGTTATTTTAGACGTGGAGTTATGCAAGCCCTTCCACACATCCCCGAGGTGCCAGCCTGTCCTGATAACCAGTTTCAGAGCATTTTAGGTGTTTGGCATAATTTGCACTCTATTGCAGTATTTTCTCTGTGGCTGAGCTGTTTTATTATTTTAGTTTTTCTTTCCACGAAACTAGTGTGCCATTTCAAAGCCAAAAAAAAAACCTGACAAAATATGATGCTGTTTTATCCTTAAGTTTATATATATATATATATATATATATATATATATATATATATAAATTATAACCTTCTTTCAAATATTTACTCCGTTGTTTGTGTCCTGGTTTGAAAATAAATGGAGGCAAATGCATCCTTACAGAAGTAAAAAGTTGACTCTGCATTTCCTTGGGCACTTTCAAAACTTCACGTTGGGGTATGGTATTTCTTCCCAGCATTAATTGGGCAGCAAATTAATTGTCCCTTCTCTTTCTGTTTGTTGTCTGCTTCAGTGACAGTGGTGCTGTTTGCAGCTCTGAGGCGGCAGCGAAAGAAAGAGCCCTTGATCATTTCCAAAGAGGACATCAGAGACAACATTGTCAGTTACAACGATGAAGGTGGTGGGGAGGAAGACACCCAGGCCTTTGATATTGGCACCCTGAGGAATCCTGAAGCCATAGAGGACAACAAATTACGCAGGGACATTGTGCCTGAAGCTCTTTTTCTACCCCGACGGACTCCAACAGCTCGCGACAACACCGATGTCAGAGATTTCATTAACCAAAGGTTAAAGGAAAATGACACGGACCCCACTGCCCCGCCGTACGACTCCTTGGCCACCTACGCCTATGAGGGCACCGGTTCGGTGGCCAATTCTCTGAGCTCTCTGGAGTCTGTGACCACGGATGGAGATCAAGACTATGATTACCTTAGTGACTGGGGCCCTCGATTCAAAAAGCTGGCAGATATGTATGGCGGGGTAGACAGCGACAAAGACTCCTAATTGGTTGCCTTTTTCATTTCCCGGTATGACACTGAAATGTGTGAAGTGGCTATTTCTTTCTATTTATCCACTATTCCGTGAAGGGTTCTCTGTTGTACCCATCCTGAAAGCCAATGGCTGCAGTCCTTGTGGATCCAATGTTAGAGACTTTTTTCTAGTACACTTTTATGAGCTTCCAAGAGGCAAATTTTTATTTTTTAGTGCATCCAGTTAATCAAGTCAGCCCAGTAGGCAGGCGCTGGAGCAGCGGACAGGGAGCTATATTTTCACTTTTTCTCTGAGGGCAGGTGGAACATGCTGGTTACCACTGACCTGGCGTTTTATGACATCCAAATTGCCTCAGGTCAGTTGACTGCCCTAACTGTACATTTTACATGCCGATGAGACAAAGGATTATGCTTTAATGACAAAGATACAGTTTCAGTTAAAAAAAAAAAAAAGAAACAACTAGGGAGTCTTTCCTGTTATATCAGCTCACAAGGAGATAATAATAAACTGCATAAGGGTTGTAAGGTTGTGTATTTCTGCCACGAAGAATCTAAAATGACATTCAGCCAGTCTTGTTTGTGCTCTGAGAACTTTCTCTGGCAGCAGCTACTCAAAACATCAAATCTACAGATGCTTTCAGATTCTTTTAAGGAACAGAAGCATTTTACATTATATCATTTAAAGATAACAATGACAAAAAAACTTAAGGCATCATTCCTTGCCAATGCAAAATGTGTTACACACAGGGGGTGCAAAAGATTGCCTTTGCACCTATAAAGAGAAAGAGAAAGTGGCTGATAGTGTAAACAAAGGAAATACTTAGCATACTTGAAAGTTTTGGCCACCAAATGTATCATAGATCTCTTGAAATTCTTTCAAATATCAGGCTAATGACCAATAATGTAATTGTTTAAGAGTTCTCAAAGGGTTTCTTTCTGGGACACGTGTCCTTGTATGTAGTTGTCAATATTACTCTACTGTACCTGAAAGTCGCAGAGTCAAGTACAATAATTCTTATTCCTCTGAAACTTCTTACACAACTGATTTAGTAAAGATACGTTAAATAAAGCTCAAATTCTACTCTTGGAGTTCAAGGAAGAGTGTAGAGCCAGCCACATTTGAACTCTATCCCGTGTCCCTCCATTTGTCCCTCCATACGTCTACAACAAACAGGTACAGATGAACACTGAAATCCCAGTAGAAACACATATTCCTTGACTGGAAGATGGATTCAAAAATGCAACTTGGCTTCACGTCAATGCAAGTGTTTATGATGGTAATTAAAATGCTAGTTGACCTTCAAAAGTATTAATATTTTTCATTGTTTATAACTTTGCTTCCATGGCAAAAGGATGGCAAACCTACCATCCTTGTCTTTGAAATAATGATAAGTAATGGTCTCAAACTATGACAGAAAAGTAATGTAAAATCCATCCAATCCATTATTTCTCTAATTATGCACTTAGCATTTTAGTCAGTTATTATCCAGGGGACCCAACTGAACTGAACTAATCCTTCTGGCAGGTTCAAATCATTTACTGCATATGGCTGTACTAATGACTTTTATCATTAGAATCTTATAATGTGCAGTCATCAGAAATTTTTGAAGTACTGTAATGAAAACGTTATTTGAAAACTTTAAAAATAGGCTCTATGTACATATATAATATATATGTAAGAATATGTTGACCACTTATTAATTGTAGGAATTTATTTCAATCTATGTTCATTTTCTAGAGATAATCTTAGTATCATTTCCACTGGGGAAAAATGTCATCTCAGAATATATTTTCTGTTTGGAAACACACTATTGTTTGGTTAAGCTTTAAATGGGAGTATTACACAGGACATAAAGGTAGCACTTTTAAAACAAGAGAAATGTGGAGTTTGAGTTAGAGTGAAAACTTTTACAACTGTATTGTTCCTTGTGTTCCCTGAATGATTTCCCATATTGTAATGGACTGTCCTGTATACTAACAAGTATTTTATGCTTCATGCTTGGGCTATTTCCAACTGTTAGGGTTTTCTTTTACTAGTTCTTCAGATACACACATCCACACAAAGACACACACGGAGGAATGCAAACAAATGTTATAAGAGGGCTTCACAGCAACAAGTCGGTATATACTATAGTCACAAGTAAATATTTAAAAGGATAGATTAGTAAAAGAAGTACTAATACTGATAGCAATAGAACAGCACCTTAATCCAAAATTTACAGGAAAATGAAAGCGTGCTCTCTGTCTCTGCGCTTCATGTCATGTAGTGAGTTGAGCCAAGAAAGATGGTCCCATCAAAAGTGTGTGTATTGCCAAAGTCGGACTCCTGAACTTTTGGTGTTAAATAGAATTTCTGAGAGTTAACGCGGGGAAATTTCCAGTGTTTCAGGGTGAAGTTGACTTTTCCCTTCTAAGTGAAAGTGTAGTTCTGCAATGAAATGTTTGAGATTTCAGTGGCAGGGTGTTTTATGTCACCCTGAACATGGCATATTGTCTCAAGAACAGCTTGCTATAACCATTTTGAATAACTGGTTAACTTCTTACAATAAAAGCTACGATAAAAATCTACAGAAAATTAGATGCTCTGAGCCTAGGGCTGAATATTTAGCACTGTGTTCCTGTAAGTATCAAGTTGGTGGGACTTTTTTCTCTAAGACTCCATAGCATCATGCAGACATTAAAAACAGCAGCTCCATCCTCGCCCTGCTCGTCCTCACTTCCCTCCCACCAAAGACCAGCTTTAACACTACTCTAGGTGCAGATTTTCTAAGTCCTGGGTCAACATAAGAAAGTTTTAAGTTCAGTTTTCACCTTGTCTTGATTTTTAGATATTGACAATTCAAAAGTTGAAGGAGAGTGAAAAGTAAAATTTTAATATGTTTTTAATCACAGAAATGAAAAATTTATTAAAACTGGGTTGCTTTTGTGTACAGGATCATTTCAAGGACATTGAAACCTTACTGATTTTTTTCCTCTTTCTATCCAAGGGGAAGTATTGCATTAAACCACTAAGATATACCCTAAAATAGAGGCTGGGGATTTAGCTCAGCGGCATAAGCGCCTGCCTTACAAGCGCATGGTCATGAGTTTGATCCCTGGTACTGATAAAAAGAAGATATACTGTAAAATAAGCTATGACTTTAAAAACATTAGCCCATTGCACCTAAGTTTAAAGCCCTTTCATTCTGTGCCCACCTTCTGCTGAAAATATGTGTCTCCAAATAAGTAAATAAATCACATAAGAAAGAAATATAGTTTCATAAAGTCATAAGAGAAGAAGTCTGGGCACAGTAAATACTATTTCTTTTGGAACTTCCCTGGTTTTATAGTCTGGGTGCATAAAGGAAGGTTCAGCTACAAAATTACTCCATTTTTAGATGGAACAAAGCTGGTGATTCAATTTAACTCAGTATAAAAATATGTGGCTTAGTTTTCATTTTCAGCTCCTGAAAAGTTGTGCAAGAAGTTCTTAAAAATTGAATCTGTATCTTAGAAGCATCCAAATTTTGTGGCTCCAAAATAACATTGTGGTGTTTCTACTGCCTTATTTCGAAGTACATAAATTTTAGATGTCCTGCACTGTTGAGCAATATCTTACACCAAATGTTTTGCCCCCAAATGGATATTTCCTTTGGGATAAGGATACATTACCCACCAACTGGACATTCTGAGATTCTATACTTTGTAGCACCATCAAAAATAAGCAACTGAAAGGAAAGAATAAGGTTGCTTCCCATGCACAAACTGAATTTTTAAATCAGGTACTTCTTATCAACTAAATTCATTCTCCCCAGGAACAGAGCCACAGAATAAGCTCTTTTATCCTAGTCACTAGTTTTGAAGTGGTGTAATTACTTTGGCAGAACAGTCTAAAAAGTCGTGATCCCCACTTTTTTTGAAAGACATCTCCTGAAAGGGATCATTTTAGTGTGATTTTAATTTTTATGTTTTATCTAGATGAAATCTTTCTTGAAATGTGACACTGTGACAAGGGACTCAATCCAAATAGTCTGCTGTGTTTAAATTAGCACTGCAACCTAACCTTCTTCATCAGGTTGTGAGAGTCAAGAGATTAACACTTGGCATGTGGATCTCGAGGAAGATGAACTGTTTCCTAAGATTTGACAAACAGCTTTCTTTTTCAGAGAATACAGAATTACAGTACGGTCTCCTTAAAAGTTCAGTGACTATTATGGTTGCAGCATTTTTAATCTCCCTTTGGCATCTTTATGGAATAATTTTCTAAAGGAATAATTCTGAACTAAAAATACCAGACCCCGACCACATTTAATGCAGAAAGCAATATCCTTTTAGGAAGCAAATACATTGACTCACACACTTGTTAATAAAGAAATAGCTCATTTTTAAAGCTAAAAGTTTATGGGCTCTGCATCATCAGTTTAATTTAAGCATTGCCGAGACAATCTGTAATCTACTCCTTATTTTGTAATACCTTATTTATGATGCATTTTCATTTTCTAATTTGGGGAGAACGTTAGCCTGACAGAGCCAGCAGATGGAAGTGCAGAAAGCAGGTCAGATGGAAACAAAGGCTATTACCCACTATATTTCAGACAGGACGGAGGCACTTAGCTGAAGAGCCACTGGGTTATTAGATTAATTTCAAAAGAGCTTTTACAAGTTGCTTAATTCCATTTTTTTAAAAACCCATGGACCACAAACTCAAATTTCTCCTCAAATGGGGTTAATTTGACAAATGAGGCATGGACCCAGCATTGCAGAAAAAGCATTCCACTATAATGAGATCTTGGTCTTTCTTAGAGACTACGCTATTTATGTAAATATATCTGGAGGCACCTTCTACAAGCTTTTAGTTTTCTATGATCTATTAGTTTAGTGATTAAAGAATCAAATGTATAGAATTCCTAGGCATTCAGGGGGAATGCTGTGTAGCAAATGTAAAATGGATCTGCTCAGAAGAAACACAAGAACACTTCAAACCTACTGTACTGTTTTGTTGGTGATTATTTTCATAGCTTTGAGAGTAAACTACATCAACATAGGCCTTATAATAAATGCAATGTGCGTCTTTAGTAATACCAAGCTAAGGCAATTTGGCATTCTCCTACTGTGATTTGTGACTTTAAACCAAGAAAATAAAAGCTTTTTGGTATTGATCGTATTTAATTAAAAATACTTGCAAGTATAAATTGAAACTGTTGCCACCCTTGAAGATTTACTAGCTGGAGTGCTCTGTTCATGTTGTTTTTCGCGGTATCATTCATGTCTTCAGCAACGAGAATACTTGGGGGAAACAATCCCTGCTCAGCTTCCATCCACATTGTGAGTTACGGAGATTTTCATAACTTCACAGTTTACCTGGGAAAGTTTTCTGTATTAGAGGAATGGGATTGGAACAATTACCTTGTAGCTCAGTGTGGCCAGGCCTTTTGCTGTAGTCAAGTGGCAAATCCGCACTCCTGGAAATGGCTTAGTTTATTTCATTTTGTTTTCTCAGACTTATAAATTTGAAAAGAATGCAATTTAAAAAATGATTTCTCACAAAGAGTAAATATGCCTTTTGCAAACCAATTTTTGTAACAAGTTATTTATATGATATTACTTAATAAACTGGGTTTTTTTCTAACTTGTTTTTTTCAATTCTCTCAGACAATTGTTTGTAATGTAGATTTTTAATGTACCTGCTGACATTCTTTATCTTTCTGAATCTGCTATTTTAACCTCTCAGCAACTAAAACTGATTTGTTATACAATAATTAACTTGTAAATAATCCTTTCTCCCAACCAGCAATATAGAATATATTGATACTTTCCTACACACTTCATACTGCTGGAACATGAAGAACTCTATTGTTATTTATGGTATTGCTGTATTAAGAAGGAAGCTGTTTATCCTAGTGGTAATTGCTTTAGATTTAAAAAAAAAAAAAGGAGACAGTTCTATATTTTTGCTTCTCCCAAATCTCCATCATTTATTTCATGCCCATAAAAACAATTGTCTGTGGATTTCTAATTTTAAGAAGGAAAAGCAAGAGCCAGACCAGAGGAAACTAAGGATAAATCCTTCCAATGGTATGATACTTTGAGTAAATAAAATGCTTTAACACATTCAGAACTATAATATTTTACATGCTTGTTGTTTTTTAAGCTGCCTTCTATTTCTAGAGGCCATATCATAATTTTTAAGTGGGAAAGTTCATAGCTTTGCAAAGGAGATTTGCATTTATTCAGCCGCTTGTTCTGTATGTATTAACTGCACCTGGGTACTGCAGAATATTCACAGTAAGCCACATGAGTATATTTTCTCTTTGCTCTGGAAGGCTTGGTCCAGAAGGAAGACATGAGCACTTAACTATGGTACATATTATTAGATGATGCTGTGGAGACATCTTAAGAGAGATACCAAGGAAGGTGTTCATCAGAAAAAAGAAGCTGTTGTCAGGTATGGTGATACAAGGTGTAATCCTAGGACTAGGGAGGCTAAAGCAGGAGGATCGCCATGAGTTTGAGGCAGCTTGGGCTACACAGTGAGTTCAAAACCAGCCTAGACTACACAATGAAACCCTGTCTTTAAAAACTAAAAAATAAGGAAAGAAAGAGAAATTGTTTCTGCACAGATGAGAATATGGGAGAGGTTCAGGAATTACTAGAATTATGCTAAAAATAAAAAGAAATTTTTTTAAAAAAAATCAGTAAAGAGAGGGAAGTTTAAGCAATGTAACCATCTCAGTTGAGGTCCCTCAAGGGGACTAAGCCTGTGAAAGTTATATGGCATCAAAAGCCAGGCACGCTGCGGAAGCTGATTTGTGTGTTAGGATTTTGCTGTCACTTGGTTTAGAGTTAACTCAGAAACAGAAACCTGCATTAGGGAATGATCTATTAGAAATAGAATTTTTCAAGGATGTTTCTGTTGTACACTAGTATGCAAAACAGAGCTAAATCCTCAGCTCTATCCATGGCACCCTAACCCTGCAGCACCCTGAGAACTGTGGCACTCTAAGGTACAGATAGAGCCAGCAGAGACCGTAGGGTTCTAGGAAATTTTCCTGACCTAATGGCAACATAGGCAGAATGTGCAAGGTGAGTTTTCAGGGACCCAGTTCAGAAAGCAGAATCCATGCAAACACTTAAATAGAGGAATCCCTTTCCAGCTCCACAACCAGCCATGTCCAATAGTGATTATTAGGACCCATTAAAGTAATTAACTGTGGCAGTCATAACAGACAAAACTCCAAAATATTCATCAGGTTGATTTTTTAGTCTCATGAAGTACAGGGTAGCTGTAGTTTTTCCTCCCTCCTGTAGAGATGCCACCAGAAACACATTGCCCCAAGCAAGGAGAACTGTCATATGGCCCTAGTCTAATCCGGAGGAGGATGAAGTGGAGCTGAGCACAGCTATATCTGCTGGGTACTAAAAACCTCTGTTAATCTTGCAATATCTTTTCCAAATTCACACACACACACACACACACAATTTCAGTCATTATAATAGACAACATCTCATAATAATCCTGAGGGTTATCAGAAGAGAAAGTGGAAAGTCTTTTAAAATTCAATCTTGTTTTCAAGTTGAAAATCCTTTTAACTGATGATTCTCCACCAGCCCTGACTTCATGATCCATGAAGGACATTTCTAATCAATTGCCACACTCTTTCATAAATCGCCTAGGCATAACCTTAGGATAGGCCCAGCACCCTCACCAATAAAATAATTTGAATCTATGTGCCTTGCTGAACCTAAGGGATAGAGTTCTCAGACCAAAAATCTGTTTTCTTTCATTGTAAGTTTTTTTGGCTACTCATAACTGACACTAGGGAAAAGCCTTCTGACCTAGGGATTGACAAAGTTTGTAATAATTAATAAAGCTGAAGGGCTTAGCTTGTCCTTACAATTAGCTCAGTTGTTATTTTATCAATATAAATCAACAAGCTAATACCTCTTTGTCTGTTTAATTCAGATGCTAAGCTAGTATGGTTGAGGTGTCTCTCATCAGTAGTATTTCTGAAGTTTTACATTCATTCTGCAAAGTCATGTAAGAAGCTATCCGGAGACACAGGCCAATGTGATAGGGACATGCAAATAAACGAAATGCACATAATCTGCTTTCTTTTTTTTTTTTTTTTTTTTTTTTTTATTTAAGAGGAAAAAGAGAAAAACACAAAACAAACCAAAGCGGCGTAAGGGTACACGCAATACAGAACTACAAAACAAAACAAAACAAAACAAAAAACCATAACAGTAAGAAATTACCTGCTAGTATCTGCTTTCAACGAGCCCTTCCCCTTCCAGTAAGGGCTGCCATGATTGAATGTCACTTTTTTTTAACCTTTTAGGTACTGGAGATTGAACCTAGGGCCTTCACATTGAGCTACATCCCCAGAACTTTTTTATTTTTTATTTACTTTTTAAAAGGGCCTCATTAAGTCACTAAATTTCTCAGGCTATGATCAAACTTGTAACCTTCCTGCCTCAGTCTCCCAGAGTGCTGGGATTGCAAGGATGCTTCAGTTCAGCCACACTGAGCTAATATCCCATCATTAATCAGTTTAACCTGACTAAATTTTTCACACTGAATGACACTGATTCTTTAGAGCAATTTTCTAGGCTTCCTATTCCCAAATCCAACATTTTTCCAAATATGCTATGAATAGATATGGCCCTTTAAAGGAAGGAGATTGTCTCCTACTTCTCTCTGTAATATACCTATTCTTTTTTTAAAATGTCTCCCTTGACATACTAGATCATCTTTACTGTTTCCTGAGCCATTTAGTCTCAAAATTTAACTTTTAAAGGCGAACATGTCTTGTTTGCACATTGGTTTAAAAAACCTGTCTGGTAGGTAAAGGATAAGTTTTATTAAAGCTTTTAACTTTGCTTCGGTGCCTGATAATAATACCTTACTTTTATATGGCACTTTAGAAATAAGTGTCATATATATTGCCTAATATAACTTTCACAACATCTCTGTACGGTAGGCTGTCTCACTTTCATTCCATGAACAAAGGAGGTAGGGTCATTTGCATGTAGGTCCCATCATAAGAATTCTAATTAAACACACTTCTTTTAATGTATGTTCTGCAGTCCTACCATGGAACCCCCATTTTCTCTTTTGTGTGCATATCCATTGAGCAAATAATTATTGGGAGAAAAATGAGTTTTTTCTGTCCTACAAATTCAGATGATGCTGATAGGTATAGGCTGTAGATCTCTCCTAGAGATCAATCCAAAGACTTTGTAGCGGAAAAAGCCTAAAGAGAAAAAAATCTAATAATCCCAATTATCCAATTCATTGTTACTATAAAGTTAGAAGAGTGTTGCTAAGAAAAACTATCTCCAAGAAATATCAAATTCCATCCAAGACTACAAAATCTATCATTACTGACATAAGAATAATCTTACAATCTTAACAATACTGATACTTGCAACATCAGACTGAAGTGGGCCCCCGTAGGTAACTATGCCTTATAACAGGAATCAGAAGCAAGGAGCCAGGACCTCCCTGTCTCTTTAAGTAGTTCACATTCTGGGATGAAGGAGATAAGGTTGTTATAATTTGGATGTTGACTGCCCTCCAAAGACCCCCAGTTTTGAAGCCTTGGTTCCCAGTTCATGACATCATCAAGAGACAGGAGAACCTCTTGCAGTGGCCACTGCTCGGGGACATGCCCTTGATGAGAGTACCAGGCCAGGCCCATTCCTCTTTCCCCTTTGCTACGAGACCTCCTCCTCCACGTGCTCCCACCATAAGTACTGTGCCTCCACAGGCTCAAAGCAAGAGGGCCAAGTGACCATGAAATGAAAGCTCTAAAACTGTGAGCCAAAATAGTCTTTTACGTTATTAAGCTGATTATCTCAGGTATTTTGTTACAGTGATCAAAATGGACTTCCACAGTTATGAGCAGAAGAAGAGATGTTTGCTCTGATCATCAGACAGCCCCCACCAAGTTCACTACACCATCCCAGTAGTTTGGTGTCTGCTGTATTCGCAGACAAATCTGACTACTCACCTGGTTGGGGGTAAGTGTGGTGAAATAAAGCTACAAATATTTGTTTACAAACTATGAAAAATAATTTTTCTTCTTTTTCTGAAAGCAGACTTAGTTTGTTTAGAACCTTGATTCTTATGAGCAGCCCAAACTCAACCTTAGTTATTTTGGGTTTCTTTCTATATCTTCGCTGATATTAAAGCTAAATTCTAAAGACCTAAGGTAATGTCAAGAGTTAGGGTGAGGAGAAAGACGAGGCACAGTCAAAGCTTAAAGCTAATCTGCCAAAGGTGTTAGAAGGAATAGGTGGATTCCAGAAAAATATGGTAATTCTCTGTCTTTCACTCTCCCTGTCTGTCCTCCCATCCTCCGCAGAATGAGGTGACAGAAGTTTATTGATCAGAATTTTTGTGCTCTTGTCATTATTTCTCATTCTCATAAGGTCAGGATCAAAAGCTTAAGAAAGACACTTGATTCTCTCCTGAATTACGGCCCTGGTACAGATTCACAAAGACCTGAAAGTTATCTTTGAATGTCACTGTTTTCAATAATAGTAATTTATAACAGTGTTTGCTTATATTTTACTGCTTCAGACCTACATAAAGTATTCATTTATAATACTAAAATGTATTAAATT